TAGTCTGGTTGTTCCGAGATTGCGCCTCAGTATGGTATCCTGTGTATGACAAGGATCTGACACTTCTTCAACGTGTGCAATCTAATTTTGTGAGACGACTATCTCGGCGCTGTCTAGTCCCTAAGCAAAATCTCCAGCTCCCGTCCAGGAAATGCTTTCCCAGGCCGATGTAAACTTTGCACTCAAGCTCGCAATGCAAAACGAACTAAATGTATTCATATCTATTATTCCAAATGACCTCCGCAGAGGTCTATCTGCCCACCCGCATGAACTGGCTCAGACCTTCGTTGTAAATAACTCATTCGCATGGAGACTTGCCGAGAAATTGAACGAAGATGTAAACTTATGTAACAAACTTAAACCCCTTTTCAATAAAGGAGAAATGAATGAAATTGCATACCGAATTGAACTGAAGAAGAAGAGACTCTCAAGACGGGAGTTCGAGCAAATGAAAGCGCGGAAGTTCAATATCCAGCGACAATTCAAAGAGAGACTCGGACTTAATGTGGATCAGCCGAAGCCCGGAGTGGGAAATTCGAATGATGGGAACACGGGGAGAAATTTTTTCGAGAATTCAAGTGTGACTTCTGCGATCACCGACCTCGACGAGAGCCTAATAACCGGATTCCGTGTTATTCTCCGGACTCTCTGTTCGAAAAACGAAGTGAACATCGAGAAGTTCGAGATATTCGTGAAAGAGACGGAGCAAGTTCTGCAAGAGCTGTATCCGTGGCACCCAGCAACGCCGAGTGTTCGTAAAATCCTAGACCACAGCCCTCGGGTCATCAAATACCTTCCCCTCCCGGTCGGCATGATGACAGAAGAAGCTCAAGAAGCACGGAACAAGGACTGTCGGCGCAATAGATTGGAAAATACCAGGAAAAATTCCCGAGAAAATACTAATTCTGATCTCTTGAGCATGTTGCTCATTTCCTCGGATCCCTTGATAGTAAGAACTCGACCCCCTCCCAAAAGGCGGCCCAAAAAAGTCGATCCACAGGTGGAAGCTTTGCTTAACTCAGCCGGAAGGGAAGCAGAGGCCGTACCAATCGAATCTGCCGATGATCCCGAAAGCTCGGTCGCCTCAGACAGTTCCAGCGAATCATCCGATAATCTCTAGCTTGAGTCTGCAGTTTCGGTGACTTCGTCGTTTCCGTCAATAAAAATTAGCTATATATGCTGTAATCATGCGTTTCCCGGATGGAGGCAAGCCTACCATGCGGCAAAAAAATAAAAATAATTTTGTCCACCTAAAATGTGATTTGGCCCCACTGTGCGACTGCAGGGCGGGGGCTGATTCCGCGGAGTACATCCCGGATTCGGCAAAGCTCGACATACCGCACGTTTCCATCGATCACCTGCTCGAATTTATCGTAGATCTCCTTCAGGTTCATGGGCAGGTGCCTGATCCCCGCGTAGGTTCTCAACTTTCTGTGTAGACTCCTCCAACGATAGTCCGGGTTCTCCAAGTGCGGTGATCGTTCTCGGTAGGTCCGAGAAGTTGGATGCAATTGCGATGACTCCCGCCTCCACCGTGGGGTCTTCGAAGAGCCGCTGAGCGACGTTGATGGCTGCTGCGTCACCTTCGCTTAATTCAGAACACACGAAGTTCTTAAGACCGTGGAAGTTAGCCGCATAGTATTGCATTACTAAGATTCATGATCCCCACCTGGTTACTATGGGTTTGCGGGGGAGGGGGGAAAGCAGGCTGAGTTTCTGCTTGGAGAGAGCAATTCTAGACGGGGCCGGGGCTTTCAGAAAAATCGCCTCCGTACTGGCGACTGTCGACCTATTTATCGACTTTGCGAAACTCCGTGCGAACTTGCTCGCTCACTCGGTGAAGTCCATGCGCAAGGCATGTTATGTGGATCATGCGTGGGAAGAGGACTTTTAGACTCCCAGCAGCTTTCTTCATGAATCGCGCGCCATCTGTGGCGAAAAGTAGAACGTGGTTGTATTGGATGCCATCAGGATATATGAGCTCCATGGATTTCACAAACAAGTGAGGGACCGTCGTAACATAACATGATTTATTGCGGTGTAGTCGTGGCGAATGTCGACAGCAATCATGACCCCTTGGTGTGCAACACAGAGATACCAGGTGGAATGGAGCGATGAGGACTAGGTTAGACTAGATGATGGTGCGACCTGGCAGTTTAACAAATGAGTTTTGAGAAAGCGTTTGAATCGAGGGCAGCTGCTGGCGGCACGCGTCTCGGTCGGTAGCGAATCCCACACGACGGGGATAAGGGAGCGAGAAGAGGACTTGGTGAGTCTGGTTCGAGCACCGGTCAGCGCGAGAGCGAGTGGGTGGTGTCGTCGAGCGGAGGTTACAACTCTGAGAGGTAGGCAGAGGAAACTAGGGAGACGATTGCGAATACCGAGAAAAGCGATGCAAGAAATACGATAGGCAAAAAGCTGTGACAGGGAAAGAAGGCCGAATTTTTTGTAACAGCGCCTAACGGAAGCGCGGAATGGAGCCCGAGAACGGCTCTGAGCGCATTGTTCTGGGCAGATTGTAGTGTTGAAAGAGTACTCACAGGGGCCGAGCCCCAAGAGCATATGCCGTAGGCTAGAGTGCTGGAGGACAGGAGTCTGAATACAAGGAGGAGGTGGGAACGAGCGAAACCAAGCCGTCGGAGGCGGTGAATACAGAAGGTGATTGAGCTGAGTTTTTACGCAGGCTTTGAACATGAATATTCCAGGGGAGATTAGAACTGAGTGTGATACCCAGGCACTTGGCCGAGTCCACGGGAACGAGCGCGGTATCGTTCCATAGAGTGGGAGAAGCGAGGGGGGAGATGGGCGGTGACTAGGGGGAAGAGCACGAGGTTGGTTTCAGCGTTTGTTTCGTTTTTCCTCCATATTGCTCTCAACAACGATTGGAGCGCGTCAAGTCATGAGCGCATTTGTCATGAGCGCACTTTCCATGAGCGCAACTCATCCTTGAGCGCACTTAGCATGAGCGCAACTCATCCTTGAGCGCAAAAAATATTTCAGTGCATTCAGTCCCGAGCGCATTTAGTCATGAGCGCGTATAGTCAAAGCGCATTCAGTCCCGCGCGCATCGAGTCATAAGCGCATCCTGTCATGAGCGCATTCAGTCAAAGCGCTTAGACAAGCGAGCACATTCAGTCTTTGAGCGCTTTTAGACGGCACCGGCATGTCAACTCGAATGTGGATAAATCTGGGGTCGCCTCTAGGTGGACACCGCGTGTAAGCGGGTACAAATAATGCTATGTAACCCTTGAACTTATTGCCCTGGTTGTCCCTCACTGTGAGGGGACCCGCGAAGTCGATCCCTGTCACGCTGAATGGTGGCGCTTGTTCGATACGGAAAGCAGGTAGCGGTGGTGTGGCCTCCGCACCGGCCTTTGCTCTGAACCGCGCGCATAGCCTGCAGTTTTTTAGGACCCTGGTAACCGAGCTCCTAGCCCTCAGAATCAGAAACTCAGAACGTACGTAGTGTTGATTAATAGATATGCCCTGAGCATGCTTGCAAACGGTCTCGTGAATCTGTGCTATCAGCAATTGTACGAAGTAATTTTTCCGTCCAGAAGGATCGGGAATTTCTCGCCGAACGAAAGGTCCCCCGATTTCTCTAAGCGAGATCGGCATCGTATAACTCCATCCTCGTCCACTATGGGAGCGTAGAGGAAGATTCTGCTTGTTCTCGATAGTTTTTTACAGCCGGAGCTGATCTCCCTGGGGAAGCAATTTTTCTGTATGTCTCTCATCAATGTTTTCTCTGCCGCCGCGTATTCTGATGCGCTTATTGCGGATCCGAGTCCGACATTGTCTCTAGACCTACAATTCTTCGAGAATCTGAGAACGTAAGCAATCGTTCTCACCGCCTTGGACCATGTCGAAAAATGTCTTTCGTTAAATATATGCTCTGCCGCTGGCCGCGATGTGGATGTCGACATGGTGTGTTGGGTGGAAGGTTTAGCCTTACCACGGTGTGGTGGACACTATATGTATAAGCTTCGGATATTAGAATAAAGAGAACTGGGTTTAAAAGCATCCACCGTCTAGTTTATTCTGAACACACAAAGCTCAAGATGTTTCGGAGATTCAGGAATCTTTGGATATAGGCCTTGTTCATGTTAGCAAGTAATTCAAGGAGGCTCTTGAGGCTTTTCTTCGCCCTTCCTGTACCTTTAGCGCTGGCTTCCTCTGTCTCAATTGTACCCGGCTCTAGAATCCTCTAGAGCAGTGGTTCCCAAACTTTTCCTTCCACGGAACCCCTAGGGCAGGGGGGTCAAAGAGGTGGCCCGCGAAAGATTTTCTCGTGGCGCGCGGCTGATCCTTAGGAATTCCATAGGATTATATCCTGGTAAATTTCGAATCACGAATAGAACGAGTCGACTCTGAAAAATCGAGAATCAATTGTGACCCATCATGCATATAATATGTGCTTGCCTCCAGCTTTCCGATCTCTCCGCTCAAACAACGTGAATCAAGAATAAGGTCGGAAAAATCTTTGAATGTGGCCCACCGGCTTCTCCCAGTGCTCCTTCGTGGCCCGCCGAAGATTTGACTTTGACACCCCTGCCCTAGGGGTTCAGCAGGGGTTCCGCGCAATCCGCCGCGGAACCCTTGGGTTCCGCGGAGCCCCGTTTGGGAACCTCTGCTCTAGAGCCTAGCCGGCTCTAGAATCCTAGAGGGAGAGAGTGTTAGGGATCCATCCCATACAAAATTACGCGCGTGTCATTTAATTTCTCCAGATTGTATTTCCGCCTGCTAAGAGCAGGCGTGCCGCGAGAGAGAGAGAATAAAAGGTAGACACACATTTTACACATTCGGTGTCCGACTCTCGGACGGTTAAGGTCGTGTTCTCAATCCATCGTTCCGATCCCAACGGATCATCTCCTGACCATCCAGCAAGTTACAACAGTGGCGACGAAGATTTTTCGGACTCAACCAAAACAAGCAGTGAGAAAAATTCACCATCAGCGTTAGTGTAGCTCAACGAGTGTGGACAATACCGTGGAAACAAAATGACTTTCACGGCGGAAGACGTGCAACGGATCGTGTCCACAGCAGTAAGGGAAGCTCTCCTCGTACTGGCCCCTAAACAAACGGCGAGCACCTCAGGGTACACCATCATGGACCATCTCAACAGTAGAATCCCTAAATTTACCTTCAAGCCGGAAAACGGACACACGTTCGAGAAATGGTACGCAAGATACGCGCCAATACTCGAATCAGATGGAGGCGCTCTGGCCATGAAAGATAATGATAGGAATTTCCGTGAGTGGAAACTTCACTAGATCAGTCGGGATACCAGGGGGAGGACAGAATTCAGACTTCAGAATGACGAGGATGCCTTCTGTGTGGTCACAGAGCAGAGAGTAACTCTATTCGTTTATTCGTTGAATATATAGGATGATATTTGTGTCTAGGATCCAGTAGGTAGAGAGAGTGAACGTCCTAGATTTACATCCGGAATTTACCGAGTTTTAGAACTAGGTCTCTGAACTAGAAAAGTATCTGATTGTGTCTATTCAGCAGCTGGCTTATTAGATATATGCGTCGGAGCTTTCTGACAAACAAGAACAGAGTTCGGGAACTCCATATTTCAGCATGAACATATATACAGGAAAAAATCGGGCGTCAGAAGGGACAAACCGATCAAGCCCTGGAGCTTCACGAGGGCCGTGAAGAGGGCGACCGCTAGAGCGGCCCCCCACCTTCGCCGCCCGCCCCAGGAGATGGCGATACTTGCTGGGGGCGGGCGACTCGGTGGAGAACCGCTCGTAGAGAACGGTGCGGCCGCCCTCCTCAGCGGACCCCCGGCTCCGACGGCCCTCATATCGGCGCCGTCCGCCGTCGCCGCGAGTCTCTTTCATTCGAGACTCCTCTCGCTCGGGTTCCCTCCTTGACTTGCGGGACACCTGACTCCCCCGGCGCCTACGAATGCTGCGCCGGGATCCTTGCTCCCGCCGAACGCTTTCGTCCCGAACGACCGACCGACCGCGGCTGCACCTCCTGGTCGATCTTCTGGTCCTTGATTGAACTCGGGATGCTCGCCTGCGCCTGCTCTGCTGTCGTCTTCGATCGCTTCTCCTCTTATTCTCGGCTCTCTGGCATTGAATCGGCTATCCGAAATCCAATCGAAGACTGGATAACGAAACAATGGATAGCCCCCCCTGTTTATACAAAAATCTCTCAGAGAAAATTGTTCCAACCTCTAAAGTGTAATCTGTTAAATCGAATGATGCACCGTTATAAGTTATAAGCTATGTTAGCCCAGAAAAACGTCAAAAAAGAAGTTTCCTTCCTACTCCGCGCGAAACTATTCGCGAAACCACAGAGTGACGTCAGAGAAAACTAGTCGGATCAAACTTCATTGTTTATTCCATGGACAGATACCATTCACTTTGATCACAGTCACTGATGTTACCTACGATCGTGTACAGCTCTCGTACGCTTCTCGGCTCCATGATGTGAACTGGATACTTCTCCGCCTGGCCACTCGATTCTTCGGTCGGAGAACACACTTCCGATCCAGAGGGGGGCTGCAGATCAGCCAGATCATCCTTGGAAGACATCTGAACTGTCTCAGAGGAAAGATGTCTCGACTCGAACCTTCCTCGTGGTACAAGCCCTCCCACGGATTCCAATCAATCGCGGGAGCGGGGGCTGGTGATGATGAGCCGGGACAGTTCGACTGATGTTCAAATGATTGGCGAGGTGATCCGTGATAATAATGGACTTCTCCGGACAACAAACAAAGAAAACGTCACTCGTGCGCTACAACCTGAAAAACATCACCGGTTGCAAGGAAAGCTCACCGATGGTCGTCGCCCAGGATGCTGTGATAGAGATCAGGGAGATTGAGAGTACTAGGATGATTGATGCCAGGATGGACCCGGAAACAATCCATCGGTTCCAAAACCTCGATCGTGATTGAGAAACCTGAGTTTCCCTTCTTGGGATGACAGGGTGAACATCTTCAACAGGTTCTTCGACAACTGACATCTCCATCCCGGATTGAGAGTAGTTCTCGTAGGTCATGACTGTCTAATTGTGAGACCGAACGTATCCTCTTATATACTTGTAGGACGGAAAATCTCTTTCCTGGCATATGAATCTTGATCCGAGATTCAGATTCCTTCATCTTCAAAAGTTGGATGCATCTCATTCCCACGAGACAACGACATTCGAAGATTGGACCATCTCAAAATACCTGTGACATCTGAGGCTGATACCTGACATCGGTAGCATAGGTAAATGGTCTCTTAGCTTCTAGAGTAGGATTTCCCAGAGATTAGATTACTCGATTAGAGAGCTTCAGCTGGCCGTGTTTCTCAGCAGTTTATTCTGTCTGTAACGTCGCTAGAATATTATATACAGTACTACGATCACGTGAACGGGGGGGCTGTTGAAATCTGTCTTTTTTTGCGTGTTTTTTTTTGCGCTGAATTGCAAACCTTCGCGATATGACCGGTCCGCTTGCACGAATTACAGACCGCGTCTCGGAAACGACACTGTTTGCGAGGATGATCACTCCTACCACAGCCGGCATAGGAGCGTGACTCACCCGTCTGTCTCCCGACGGCGCCGGCGTTAACTTTCCGTTTCACGAATTTCGGCGGAGATTTCCTTTGCGCCGCGCTTGCATGGAAGACTACGGGCTCTTCCTTCGCCGCCCTTGAGCTGTGTTGATCTACTAGAGTGTCCTCCGATCGAGTCTCAAACCCTCTGATTTTTGAACGAAGTTCTTCGAGCGTCAAATCCGGCTTCTCATCCACTGCTCGCATGATGACGCCGCCTAGGTTCTTATACGACGGATCACCTAGTTGTAGCAGCATAATGAATATGTTAAAATTGTCCAGAGTGAGCTTGTTGAACTCAAAATCGTCTCCACAGAGCTTGGTCGCGTTGACGATTTCCTCCATTCTTTCGCCTGGAGCATGCCGGACGTTCAACAGTGTATCATGTCGCCGTCGAAAAAGCGACTTGGAGTTGCCGATCATTGACTTCAAGGCCGTGATCAGCTCCTGGTAGGTCTTCTCCTCAGGTTGCTTCGTTGAAGTCCGGCCAAGGAGTTGATTGTTCTCCTCCGGACCCAGCGACTTTAGCACGAGCTGGGCGCGCTCCTCGTCGGAGTTACAATGCGAGGCAAGATATTGTTCATTTTGTCTGAACCAACGCCAACGCTCGAAGGTCATACCGTTTTCCGGGTCGTAGGCCAGAGTTCCGCTCAGAGACAGACCCTTCTTTCATCAATCCCGAAGTTCTCTTGAAATGTTCCTGTGGCTTCGTCCTGATTTCATTGGATGTAAACGTTTGCTTCTCGTTGCAGAACAGAGAGAGAATGAGATTCGCATCGATAGAGGCATAAAGGATTTGAAGTTCCTTGAGGCTGTTGCTATCGGACTTCCCCTGCAGTATCAACTGATTTGGAGTCAGTTCTGTCGCAGGTGGAATGATCTCTTGCGGCTTTGTCTCACCACTGACAACCTTCCAGACGTCTAGGTCAGTGTTTCCCAAACTGGGTTCCGCGGAACCCCAAAGTCTACCTGCGGAACCCCTACGGAACCCCGGGGTTCCGTGGAAGAAAAACTTTGGGAAGCACTGGTCTAGGTCATGTTTCAGGTACAGTGAAACCTGTCTAAGCGGAGCACCGTGCAATGGGACCACCTGAGGTATCGGACCACTTTACTCCGGCACCGATTCTGTGAGCCATAGGAACCAATGGCACAATCGACACGCATCGGGACCACCTGAGTGACGAGACCAAGGACCACCTTTCCCATGAACCGGGACCGCTTTTCACCTGTGTAATCGACGGAAACGTTGTGGAGAGCTGGATTCTGAGGCTTCCTGACTTGATTGGAGACTTCAGCCCGAGAGACATTTTCAACATGGATGGCTTGTTTTCCCGCTCTTTACCCAATAAATCACTTGTGGAAAAAGGCAGGGCCTGCCGCGGCGGCAAAGTCGCCAAAGAGAGGCTCTCGATCGCCCTCTGCTGTCGACCTGCCGGAGAGAAATTTCCACCGTTGGTCATATGGAAATATCTCAATCCGCGTTGCTTCAAAGGACAGGGCATAAAGCGGAGCGGTATTTTTTTGGAGGCAAACACGGAAGCGTGGATGACCAGCAAGATATTCAAGACGTGGTTATCGAAGTTCAACTCGTATATTGAGCGCCAAAACAGGAACGTTCTCCTCATTCTGGACAACGCGCCTTGTCATGCGCAACGTTCCATGAGCAACGTGAAGCTCTTGTTCCTGCCGCCGAACGTAACAAGTGAGCTTCAACCACTGGATCAAGGGGTCATTCAATCCTCCAGGATTCATTATAGGAAATTGTTGCTGGGCTGGTTGGTCAGCAGAATGGATGAGTGTGATGGTGCCACGGAGCTCCCGAAAAAAATAAACGTCCTCGGGGCCGTCCGATGGGTCAGCCGAGCATGGTCAAACGTTCGGGAGGAGACGATCGCCGGATGTTTCAGTCGCTGTGGTATACCGTGTCGAGGGATCGTCGCAATGACAGAAGCCGCGGTGGACGACGATGCCGACGTTCTTCAACTGAGTGAACAAGCCGGCCTATCAGAACCTTTTTTCGTAGAAGAGATCGAGTGTTTTGGAACCGATTATCCCTGCCCGGGAGTCGAGTCCTTAGATCCACCGGAAGCTGATGTTTAGGAAACAGTCCCTGGCGAGCCTGTCGAACCGCCTACTCCCCACGAGGCACTCCCAGCCGTTGAGACTCTCAAAGTATTCGCGTCGTCGTCGACAGCTCTGACAGAGAGAACACAGCTTGCGCTCTAAGACTGCGAGAAACAATTTCAAGAGTTGATAATATCGAGCAAGCAAAGAAGCATGCGACAAAGCCTCCTCGACTCCTTGTTTTTCTAGAGAGGGACTTACTTGAGGGGAAACGACTTCCTTGTTGGCAGAATAAAATAATTCCGTAACTGAATTCACGGCGTGCGTATCTTTCGATGAACATCACGGGAGCAGGGCAATTCGGTTTTTCCGGGGAGAAATATGCATAAAACCTCTCTCATGTGACCACCTGAGTTATAGGACCACTTTCCGCTGGTACCGCGGGTGGTCCCATTAGACAGGTTTCGCTGTACATGGGTATGGGTGGCAATCGCCCCCAGGCCATGTTATTTACACCGAATCCCGACAAAGCAAAGCGATGTCATCTTGAAATTCGGATTATCCACCGTCACCGCACAGGGCGTCGCCGTCGGTTTCACCGTCGACTCGTCTGCCCCTGTCCGCTGAGACATTCCGCTCCCCGTCGGAATGTTTAGAGGGCTACTTTATCTACTCGATCACTACCTGCAACTTACGGATGTCTTGGAGTTGAGCCTCGGGTACTCGGAGCAGCGATTCTCAGCAGGTGGCTCACACAGCTTCTCGTGCTGATAACGCGTTCGAAATAAACTAGACGGTGGGTGCCTTTAAACCAGTTAAAAATCTCGAGTTTTTAAAGCGACAGTAGTATCAGCGATAGGCGCTTGGCGGCATTGGGGGTCGAACACCCGCGACGGCCGACGCCGACGTCGCGACGATAGAGTTTCAGAATAAAGAAGTTGTTGTTTGCAACCCGAGTGAACCGCATCGAGACTTTCTCCCCCTACTTGCGCTTGCGTAGAAGCTACCAGCAATCCAGTCCGTTATTGTCCTCCGAGTGAAAATTAACAAAAACTGTAAGAGATTTCTTCGAAGACGATCGATTCGCTGCGGAGAGACGTTGATTTATCTTCTGATCCTTATGTTGAATAGCTAATCGCTATCAGGCACATGGTTAGAAAATACCTGAAGACAGACGAATCGATTTTCTAAGACTTTGGCGCACACGCGACGTCGACTGACTTCTACTTGGAACCAGTAGTCCGCGCGCCGTCGCTACTGTCGCTTCGGTCTCGTCACCGCTCGAGCGCGCGTGATTTGAACTTGATGTCGGGGAGTCATAGGAGCAAGTTTACAAACCCAGTAATCTTTATTATAACATCCAAAGCTTACATAGTGTCCACCACACCACGGTAAGGGTTGACCATCGACTCCACCTACTATTAGTGTCAATGCTGCCCAGAACAAAGCAATTCAAGTTGGCGGAAAACACGACGCGGGAATCCAGAATTCCAACTCGAGCCCACATACAAACCGCCGGCAGCTTGGCGGAGGAGGCCCGGAGAACGAAGTTAGCCACTTTGCCTGCGCGTGCGATGAGCAGGTGGATGCGAGTTTCGAGGCGGAGATCATGAGCCGTGTGAGCAGCAACCCACCGTCCGAGCCCCGTCGGCACCCTGGCAAGGGTGTCGCTTGATTGTGTGTCGCCGAGCGTTCCGAGCTCGTGATCGATGTAAAACCTGTAGGTGTTGCCCCTCACATGTCGCGGCAGAACCTCTACTTTGAGGACATTTTTTTGGTCTCGGTGCGACCTCAATTTTTATGGTGGTGTCATCGTTCAGCAGTTCAGCGGGATACGACTCGGATTGGGAGAGCTGGTAGGTCCCAGTGGGAGAGATCTTGAGATCGTTTTCTGTTAGTATCAGCAAGACAGAAATCGAGTCAGAGGTTACGCTGGGAAATGACCGCTTCATTGTGTTCCATCCATTTTGCTCAGCTTCTTGACCCAATTCTTGTCAGCCTCGCTGATGAAACTCGGTTGGCTCTTCCATGGAGACACTGCCGAGGAAGGGTAGTCGGCTTCCCATTCACTGTGCGCGTCCAGCTCATGGTTCAATAGCCGTGGAGACTTGAGAAATGAGAAAACTCGGCGAATAGCAGGAAGGTGTCCACGGTGGAGGACATTGAATCCATGTGGAATTCAGAACTCCTCGAGATAAAAACAAAATAAGCGATCGGCGAGGAAACGAATTAGCTAGACGCGGAACTAGAACAGTTTTTTCGTTGCTCAGTCAAGAGACTCATGAAGGGCGACTCTCCATAAGCCTTCCCGTCGAAGACAACCTCGAGACGATCGAAGATAACGAATCACCCACCAGGGGAAGACCTACCGCCTACTCAGAAGCCTATCGAAGGATCCGGAAACGCTGGAGACAATCGACGATGATATCGCAAGTTATGTCGAGATGGTATGCGTGGCATCAGCAGCGCCGAGGGGACTCGGCGAACCCGCTTATTCTATTCCCTCGCGAAATTTAATCGTCCCCGGACTGCTCATCTGGAGAAAAGACTCGCATGGTTGAAGACGCTGGTGCGATATCGACGGACAAAGTCTCCTTGAAGGACTTACTCCACCACGGACCAAACCTGCTGCCGGACATATAATTCAAGTTCTCTTACGTCTCACTCAGACGCCATATACGTAGTCACAGCCGATATCGAGAAGGAATCTCTATAGTTCAAAATACAGCAAAAACATCGAACATTCTCGCGGTTCCTCTGGCCTCTCTGTATTTCTCCAGGTCAATCAGCCTCTAGGCAAGAATCTGGGGGGCAGTTTCCCGGGAAGCGCCGCAGGAAGGATCCCTTCGGAATATTCCAAGCGGGTAAAGGTCGTCTCGGGGAATGGCTTACCAAGTCCGAGGCATTCGCGGAGGTATTCGAAGAGACCGTGACATTTCCAGACGTGAGTACGAATTCAGACAGCAAGGAGCCAAATAACTTGGCATAAGATGGGATCAATTAGAGGACACCATCGGCTTCTTCATAACGAAGGCATTACGGGAGTCAAGGAGTGGGTCTCTAACTATCGGACATTTCCGCCAGCCACGGTATCGGCGGACATTGTTCTTCATAGACTATTTGCGCAGGAGGCACACTCGTTCTCTACTATACAGGGCTGCCAGAACTGTAGATTGAAGTCACCACATTTGGCTCGGGCTCAAGGCTGCCGTTCGAAATCGCGGCGCGTGTTCCGATGCGGAGTGTTAGGTACTGAGAATCTTCCTCTCTGTTGCGCCGAGAAGGGCAAGTCGATAGGATAGGTTCCGTTGAAGACGACGTTGGACGTAGAAACGTCGTTCCGGACACGGTTCAATTGAGACTCAATATTCCTCACGGGCATGTCAGAGGAAACGCTCTTGATGATGGTCCGGATGCCAAGCCGACTCTGGTGGATGTGACATTCGAGTAATCTTGTCTTGAGATTCTGCGGTCGAATCGACAGAGGATACTTTCCGTCGGTAGAAGTGAGCGGAGGACTCTGCGTGCTCCCGAGTGGGAGAGAGGGTAAGAGCGTGATTCGCTGTGAGGTGATTTTCGAGTCGATACTCATAGACTTCTGGAGGATGGCGCGTCGACCCCCTACGAACTCACAACCCTGGCTGTAGAACGATTTCTCGACGACCTCACTGCTGGACCCGTCTATTGCATAACTTGAGCCATCGTCGCCGTCGTTGTTGTAGTCTGCGGATTCGTTGCGCTTGTCAAGGTCGTTGTAGGCTTTCGAGGAGAAGACGGATTCCATTTCGCGGTGTTCGAAAGCGTGCCACACGTCTGCCCGAAAACTCGGATCCGCAGCGCAGTCTGAGTATGATGAGGACCCTCTGGAGAGCGAGACGTGGCTTTCTCCAGCGGAACGCATCTTCTATTCACGAGCGTGCGTTCAGCATCGTGGGGGATACCTGAGGACCAGAGACAAGGAGTCGTAGGAATGGATTCCGATTTAGGCCCGTGACCTTGTTGTGGGCTGCCTGTAGTGCCTAGATAATCGTCATCCGACGGGATCGACGAGGTGCAGGGCACGTGTGGTGACTTGCACGCTGTACAGGGCAAGTGAGCCACTACATGAGGAGCTGTGTGCGGTACGAAGGGCCGAGAAGGCCGGGACCATCCCCACCGGGCTCTGAGGAGGCATCACAGGCGTCGGAGGAATCGCCGCGTGTTCAGGCGTCATCAGGCCCGGCAGGAAGGGCAGAGGTGGTCGCTGCTCTCCGAGCAATCATGGAGGCAGAGGAGGCAGGCGTTGGAGTAAACGTCTTAGTTAACGTGCAGGTTCAGGCGGAACCGCAAGGCCCGGCTCCCCTCAGGCGGATGCCACTGACGAATCCGGAGCCATGGCAGTGTCCGATCTGCATGGACGGGGTGACCAACGCAGTGGTCACTACATGTGGCCATCTGATGTATTGGCCGTGCCTCTATCGTTGGACGGTGGTCAACACCCGGGGCATTCGCTGCCCAATATGTCGCTCGGTGATCGAACCGACGGGCTCCGTCCCGATCTCCGGAACTGAAGAGGAGGTGGAGCTACCGCCAGGCTTCCCCAGGCGACCGAATAAGGCACCCAGGCACCAGAGGTTGTTTAGGTTGATCAGGCGATCAAATTGGTAGCAGTGGTCGAGTTTCAGAAGCAGAGATATCATATAGGCACGTTAGATCAAGGTGCACGGAACACGTAGCGAACGTGCACATTGACAGAGTCTTGTTCTGGCTGGCGTAGGCGCCGGTCGTGCTAGTGGTGGGCTCCTCGATCGCCCGAGACCCAGGCAGTATGCTGCCAAGTGAGTAAACTAGAGACAAGCTCAGAACGACTTTTCCCCTTTCCGAGTATCTCCAAGACACCCCCCGGACCGTTACACAAATCGGCCGCGATTTCATCTTCAAAACAGTCCGACTCAGCGAAACATTGTATGTCCCCATCGGTAGTCATGTACGTCTGTAAATTCTCCACGGAGACTAGAGCCGAACCGACGCGTGGTCGAGTGGTTAGCGCGTTTGTCACTTCTCGTGCAAACGTGCATAGCCGCAACGACGCCGACGCCGCTCGCGCGGGAGGCGGTGTTGGTTCGATCCCTGCTGCCGGAGAAATATGCAGGTACTCGGCCTTGATCCTCCCGGGCACATTCGCTCTATAGATCCGTCCTCGGAAGCAATGTGAATAACAGTACCCTGGACGTTAAACCTTGGCTGTTTGGTTCAGCCCGAAAAAGTTCCGACGTAGGACTGCGTCCTAGGTCGCACAGATATGGAGGCCCTGCTCGAAGTAAACAAATGCAAGGGAAGTAGTGTGACGGATGTCGAAACCACTAAGTGCCGCCCACCAATCAGGAACCCCTACTCAGAAAAGCTTCACAGACCGCAACCGCCATGGGTCAATCTGTTGGAAAACGGGACAGACGCTCCAAGGAGCACACATACTCTCTTCAGAATACTGCCACTCGACAAATTCCATCTCGACAATCGCCAATTTCGTCTTGACAATCACGACGGGACCCCATACCCGCGCTCTTCTAAACAGGGTGATTGAGAGAGCCAGTACAGGTAAGAGCACGCAAGGTGCTCGACTTCCTCGCCTCGCGACGGATGCAGGCGTACGCCATGTTGACGTCGCAATCGTCCCGTTCCCCGTTCCCCCGTTCCCCCGTTCCCGCGTTTTCCCGTTCCCCCGTTCCCCCGTTCCCGCGTTTTCCCGTTTTCCCGTTTCCCCGCTTCCCCGTGTTCCCCGTTTTCCCGCTTTCCCGCTTTCTCGTTTCCCCGCTTTCCCATTCCCCCGCTTTCCCGTTCCCCCGTGACCATGGTGAGATCAGGAGTCAGGAGATGGGTGGAGCGATCCGCAGAACTCTTAAGGTCCTTGTTAGAGCAGCGAGATGATGGTAAAGAGTATGGAGCGTGAATTGAGCAAATTCATATTCATGAATGAATATGAATAAATTCATATTCACGATATGAATTCCCGGAAATTTGTGAAATTCTATTCATATTAGTCAGAGCGAAATAGTCAGACGGCGTGGTTTCGGTGGCCTACATCACGTTCCAATATATTCATATGAATGAGGGACCTTATTGTTCGAGGAATTATCATCGCCATGTGAATTGGCGAATCCCGTGTCGACAAAGTATTCAGCTCCACGATGGAGACGCAGATGAATTGTGTCGAGGGAGGACTAACATAAGTGCTGTACATAGACTGACACGCCATCATGCCGTTCTGGGGTAAAAGAGGATTGAGAAAAGTTCTGCAGAAGCATCTCGAAATATCCGGTGGGACTAAAGTCAAAGTAACAGTCGAATACCGTCGACCCCGGGACTTTTTAAGCTTGACGCCATGGCGAGAAGGGAAGGGAAAGGCACCCTAGAGTACGGGTGCCTTTCCCTTAATAAAAGTCCTGGAGAGGGAGTGCTCAAGCACTACCGTTGGTGGGGCGTGCAAACATCCCGCTTACGCAACAAACACTTGGCAATCTGTGGAATTGATTTGCTCATGAAGGAATAAACTCGCAGTGATCAAATGTGATTTATGCAGTTTCAGTGTGGAGGATGAGTTCCTCGAATTCAAGGCAGCATCCGTCGGTTTTGAACCACTTTTGAAGCCTTTCTGCTTCGGCATCCCTTCCCGCTTCACGGATGATTGTGTTTGTCGTTGTTGACGGTTGTCTTGTGCCGTTGTAATCTCGCACATGAAGGTTCTTTAGAATGACTGCATCACCTTCTTTTCCATCTAATTTGCCGACAAACTCCGACCAGATTCCAAGATTCACCATTTTCATACAGTCGTCGAGTACAGTAACCGTTTGTTTTTCGCGGTTGATACCATCTCGACAGTTGAAAGTTTGGGGTGGCCTCACGTCGAATACCACTACGAGGACATCGACCGTCGTGTTCACGGGCTTCGAGAGCAACTCAATCAGAAGTGTGGTTTGCGCCTGAGTCTTCGGGAGATCGTTTCCCGTGATCGGAACGAGTTTACTCAGCTTCAAATAGAGATTTCGAATAAATCCCGAATCTTTTAATGGCCTATGATGATTTTTGCACTGCGATTGTCATTCATGATTTTATCCGACCAATGATATGTTGAATACCTTCGTGAGCTGGAGCTCGCATTCATGTTCTGTCGCTCGGTACTGGGGATTCACGGCTTTCACCTTGAATGCATTTATCTTGTAGCCTTGTCCAACCGTGATCATTCCAAAGATCTCCTCCGTTGAATCCCTTGAGGCGATCAAATTTATCTCTCCGCTCGTGTCGCTCAACACGAAATTCGGGAACACGGTACCCAGCCCCGCTCTAAACGTCTCGCAATGAAGGATGCGTTCATCCGTCATGGAGTAAGGTGTTCGAATTCGCTCGGCAGGAGGTTTATTTCCCGAAAAAGTGCCACTCTGGCCAAAATATGGCTCTAACGTTCACCAAGGAACAGATGGCTCAACTAAGTGAAGTTCTAGATGCGAAGCTAGACCAAAAGCTTCAGTCATTGGAGAACAGAGTGTGGACTAATGTTTTACTGGTGTTTTTGATTTGACGCGTCCTTCGACTTGGCCGCATCCCCTACCTAGTCGGATCTCGCGGAGAAGTTTTGACTTTTTCTCGGGGGGAGCGGCATTTCTGCTGTTTTTCGGACGTGCTCCGTTCGGCGCGATCATCCTCTGGTCGATCCGCTATCGATAAATACATAACTTTATGGTAAAAACAATAACCTGTGTGTTCATCATCATGTAGGTTGATTCAAGAATTCCCCGGAATTCGGAACCGGGTGAAGGGGACTCGCCTTGTCTCTTTCCCGTATGTCTCAAATTGGCAACCGAATGTCTCAAACTTGGCCTCGACATTGGGGGGCGCTTCCCGTTCACTGTGCGGAAATTGCTACACTGTATTTTCGCCTCGTGTCCGCTCTTCGTTGTTGGAAAATCAGAAACACTTCACCGGGATACTTGATCCTTTATATACCTTCTGTCGCCCTCGATATTTCTTCCCCATGGTAATGATCATAATTCGGCCAATATATGCTCATGGTCTCTGTTTAGTCTCCCATAGGTCTTTTCTGATAACATTTTTTGCTCTGTTTCGGTCCCATGTATTGAATGCTTCCCGAATTCCCGATGTGTGTCTGTCCCTCTGATTGTGATCTGTTTTTCGCTCAATCATCGTCAGCGCACGCTCCCGGTTCACTGTGGTATATATTGTATCTTATTGAATACGGGACGATGATACGAGAGGTAGGATACGTATGCTCTGCATGATATCGAAAGTTTTCTGGCGAGTAATCAGTTTCGATGGTACAGATCTGAATAAAATGTTTTCTCTGTTTTTCGACAACCCGAAAGCTTCGTCTCGGGTTGTTGTTGAGTTTACTTGTTCGCGGTGAATATAGGTCGAATTCGGGATGGTCTGGACGCCGATTTTAATCGCTCCCTAAGTCCGGTACTGGGAGCTATGCGCAGCTGTAACGGCTGTGCCATGTGTCAGCAAATGACCTTACTCCCTGATAGGGTGTTGCCGGACCAGTCTCTGACAGACATTGAAGAAATAATTGGAGCGTCGGAAATCTTCGATAGTTAATAAAACTGCACCATCGATTATAAATGATATTTGTGATATCGAAATATCGTCAGAAGACTCCTTCATGCGCGGAATGCGTTTCAGCATGTATTGATAGGAATGTAGAAAAAAGGGATCCGCTCCTCTCGTTCGGTGGTGGAGCTGTAGTTCTATTCGGTCGGGGAGTTGACTCGGGAGGGGGAGCGCATGGGCTAGCAACAGGTCAGTGCGACGGTTATTTGTATAATGGTTTCCATCCTTCCCAGGTAAGATTGCTCTGGCCATTAGCTTCTTCTTAATTATCATACATATGGGGGGGATTTCTCGCTGAGAGTATATCTTGGGCCGCGCTCGTTGCTCTTGCACGCGCTTCGAGTGAACGCTCTGCTGATTAGAACATTCTGGAAATCATGATAGAACATTTCAATTTCTCGGAAGGATAGATAATACAATGGCGGCGGGTGGGGGCAGGCGCGTATCCAGGATTTTTTTGGGGGGGGGGCACCCGATGACTGCGGCCCCGAAAGTCGGGAATCGGTAGTAGCGACAGAGGTAGTATGAAACAAGAAACAAGATCATTTTTGGGGAGGGGGGCACACGATCCTTCGTCGTTCGAGTGAATGGAAGAGAACCGCTCCTTCCCAGCGAGTGACACGGGCTCCGAACGAGCCAAGTTCCGATATGAAATGAAGAAATCGAAGCTAGGTTGTTTCTGGACTGATTGGGATAGGACATGTTTATTTTCTTAAGGTTTATCGAGCGAGGCTTTGAGACTCATTTCAAGACCCTTCCGGCTTAGAAGTACGAGCTTGAATCGGCGAGAATCGACCGCGAAGATATCTACGACTTCCTCTGGAATGATTGAGATGTATCGGTGAATTCGCATACCCGCAAGACCATCCAGCCTCTCCCCCATCATGGTGCTGCGCAGATAGGTTTTGAGCAGCCTCAAGTCGCTATAAGTGCGCTCGGGGGTCGCTTTGGTCACTGGAAGAGTGGCAAAAACTTGCAGCAATAGAGAAATTTTCGGGTAGTCTACTTCGGAACACTCATTCAGAGCGTCGATAGCATTCCGTGGTCTCTCTCCAAGAGGTACTCTGAGCCATTTGAATTTCCACCGTTCAAACTCGGCTTCGATCACAATAGAACTGCACTCCAGGTCACTCCGATAAAAATCAACGGCATACTTCAAGTCACTGGAATCGCTGTTCCCGACGAATTTGGGGACAAGATTTCTTATTCTCCAGGCCTCACTAGTGCTGTCCTCAAAGAGAACTTCCATGTCTCCGATGAGTTGATCCAGGTATGGGATATACAAGGAAACTCTGAAGTACCCCTCTGGATCCAAGTTCGGGAGATTTCCGTTCTTAACCCGTGTGCTATAAAGGCCTCAATGCTGAGATCCGAACAGACTGATGAGACCTCTTGGTAGATTTCCGCGAATTCCGTATTCGCATTCCGCCTCCGCAGTCGCAGAACCGTGGTCCTTGATAAGTTCGAGCGCTTTCTTGTGCTTTGTCTGGGGTAAAGTAACGAAGACGCACACTTTGTCGAACGCGCCTCTACCACCTTCCTCACTGTGAGCGAGCCAATTCCAGCTCTTGAGGTAGGATAGTTTGAAGGTGCGAGCCCGTCCATTCTGTTTGATTTTCGGGAAAATCGAGCGCATCATACTTCTCCGCGTCGCTGATAATAATCTGAGCCTTACCCGAGAAAATGCCAATGTCCGTGGCTTGTATCGTAAGTCTCAGTCTCTTAGGTACTGGTAGCGGACTGACGGCGGTGGACAGGGTCTCCGAGGGGATCGAATGAACTTCCTCTTCAAATCCGGATTCGACTCCTCGAGACTCATCAGCAGCTAGTGGAGGAGGTCTCTTCTCAACGAAAAAGGAAGTCAAAACTGCTTGCTGTTTCCCCATCTTCTCAGAGGATGGAGGCGAAAATCCCCTCCTTGAGAGGGTTTGTTATTCTCCTCAGCGCTCGAAGAAACCGCGCCGAGTTTCTGCATTCTAAGCACCCAGAATATACATCGCGTACGTGCCGCCAGGTTTCTCGAGGATCGCCGATTCCCGAAAACTCGGGACTTCATCCTCCGGTTCCAGGAGCCCACAGAGCTCGTATGGAACAAAGTTGGGGATGCAGGTGTTGGAAGTTCAATAGCCTCTCTGACAGTTTTCCCTTGCCAAATGTCGCCTAGAAAGCCTTCCGCGATTTCGAAACTCCCGATTCGAAACCATTCGTGCATCCGTGAGAAGATCCGTCACATTTTTCTTGACAGCGTCCATGATGACGTAGTTCTACGTCAATAAAAAACGCTCTTTGTGAGTGCGATCAGGCGTGTGCCCCAGAGGCGGTACTCACTTCGTCGTTCAACGGCAATAAGCAGGATAAAGACTCCTCCCGATTGGGCGTACCTCAATTACTCTAACCCTCCCGACCCGGAGTACCTGAATTCCTCTCTAATGCTGCCGTGACGACGAAGTGAGTGCAAATGGAGGTACCTCTGGGGCCGACGTGCCCCGGTCTCCCCTACACGCGACCTCCTGGTCCAGGGATATTTCCTTGTGTCCTTCCTGAATTGCTCAAAATATCACCTCAACTCCTAGCACATAGCCACTATGGGCGCAATGCTGGCTACTCAGCTGCTTGTCAGCCTCTGCTCCATCAGCTGTTTCTCCGTTGCGGCCTCTCCTGTATCAGCTGTTTCTCCGTTGCGGCCTCTCCTCTATCAGCTGTTTCTCCGTTGCGGCCTTTCCTCTCACAGCTCTCTCTTCTCTGGCAAACCGACTGTCCCTCCGACAGCTGACTCCGACTCCATCGATTCTCGCGGCCAAAATAGTTGGAGAAATACAGGTTCCGCTTGCAATCCTACGTGGCTTTCGAGTGCGATCAGGGCATACCATGGATTCAAACCAGACGGCTGTCACATACGAGCGAGTCGTATGGTGATCGAGTCGGGGAAGCCAGCTAATTAATTGAAATGTGTACATATTGCTAGTATTGCGTCATTCCTATGGAGAATAATTTCGCGCCTTAGAGAGGGTTGTGCGGAACAGAGTCTAGGAGAGGAGGAAAGAAAGATAACAACATTGCAAGTCGCAACTCGGCCCGGTCGTCGGGAACGACCGGAAAACTCGAAAAGGGATTTTGTTCATTCAAACCCTCCGTGTCACACCTTCTCCGAAGCGCATCTGTGAACCGAACTTCAGTGTCTTCATTCATAGTAGTTTCGAGGGGTCAATCCGTGACATTTTGGTGTCAGAAGATTCTACGAGCCTGCACGCCCCAAGCGCAAGGCCGAAGGTCACGTCAGGTCAGAGTATCAATCAGTCTGGAAATATCAACGGATTTACGTGGCATTCATCCGACGAGCTCCCAAGTTCCCCATCTCGAGACTTTCATTCGGATAAGCTCGATCGACGAACACTACACTCGAGGCGACCAGTCAAGCAGCGCTCACTCCAGCTCGGAGAGATCTGCATTCAGAAAGAAGAGAATACCCCGAGAAGTCACTGGCCGCTAGTCCGCGTCGTAGAGCTACACGAGAGCTCCCAGTTCGCCGTAACCGGACCTGCACCATAAAATTCAGTAATAGGAGAACTCGATTGAGACCGGCGAAACTTCTATACCCGTCGGAACAAGAAGCGCCGGGCCCCCTACAATGAAACGAACATAAGATCGCGTGTTCCGTTACCGGCGCAACACTCAGTCAAGGAGACTGATTATCAAAAGAAAATTATAGAGGAAGATACAGAGATATGATATCTATATATATAAAAACGTATGTCTGTCTGTCTGTTTGTATGTCCGGGGTACCCTATAGACTCGAAAACGGCTGAACCGATCGTCGTGAAAATTTAGGAGCGTGTTCTGGGGGATCTAGCGGTGGTTATAGGGGGGGTCAGTTCCCCGATGCGATGAGTCCTTCTACCTTTAAAAAATTATTTGAGTGCTCCACCCACGAAAATTCGAAAACTCGAAAAAAAATTGAAAAATCCGAAATTCGCAAAATTCACGAACGCCTGAACCGATCGCCGCAAAAATTCAGGGATGGGTTCCTGGGAGCTTCAGGAAGGTCATATGAGGGTCGTCGTTCTCATGTGATGGGTCTTCCCTCCATGAAAAAATTATTTGAGTGGTCCTCTCATCGAGAATCAAAGATTTCATAAAGAGAAAGACGGGAATTCGCAGGACTTTCAACGGCTGGAGCACTATGAGGGGGCGGATTCTCGGGAGCTCCTAAGAAGGCTATCGGGGGTTGCCGTCATCATTGGCCTCTGTCTTTCTACTAATGAATCTCGCTGAAAATTGCTGTGGCCGTGAAGGGTATAGATCAGCGGTTCCCAACCTTTTTGGCTCCGCGGCTCCGCAGCGAACCCAGAATTCCCCCGCGGCTCCCAGGATACCCAGTGCCCTCGCGGCTCCCGCGGCTCCTACATACCTACTACATCTACCGTGTAGTAGGTAGGAACTTGGCTCCGACCTCGTGGCAGATGAAGTCGATCCGTTTCGGAACCTTCCCTTGGAATTGACAAACCCTGACGGCCCTGACCTACACCAGGAATTCTTCCGCGGCTCCCCCAGAAAAGTCCCGTGGCTCCTAGGGGAGCCGCGGCTACCAGGTTCGGCGGCTCCCCCAGAAAAGACCCGCGGCTCCCCTAGGAGCCGCGGCTCCCAGGTTGGGAACCGCTGGTATAGATTTTCCGAAGAACATATGGAATAAAGCGGGGGTACGGGAAAGTGGGGAAACGGGAAAGTGGGGAAACGGGAAAGCGGGGAAACGGGAAAATGGGAAAGGGGGCAACGGGAAAGTGGGGAAACGGGAAAGTGGGGAAAGGGGGAAGCGGGAAAATGGGGAAACGGGGAAACGGGACAACGGGAGAGCAGGGGAACGGGAAAGCAGGGAAACGGGACGCGCACCCAGAGCAAGCGCACCCGGAGCCAGCGCACTCGGAGTCAGCGCACTCGGAGTCAGCGCACTCGGAGCTAGCGCATGTGTAGTGAGTCTAGCGATACCGAGTCGCCGCGAAGCGGCGACCGGGAGCGCTATTTATTATACAATCGGAAGACGGACATCACGTGAGGAAAACCTCATTCAGATTCTTCCCCGGAGGCCTCTCCAATCCTTATATCGAATTCAGTATCGCTATCCCCGGGATCAGGAACATCATGCCGAATCCCGGTGACTTTCACCAAAGTCTCAGAGACATCCCGAGTGCGAGGGCAACGAGCATGCCTAACATATCTTTTCGCCAGTCGCTGACTCGACACCACACTCCGGACTGACTCAGGGTTAGTCTTTTCGCGACGCTCCTCTCCGGCCGGACCCTGCACGACTTTCGTGACGCGCAAAACCCCATCCGCGCGGGGGAAAGCAGGCCGAGCCCGAAACGGTTCGGGCCGACGTGCGGGAACCCGCTCTTTCGGGAGCCCTAGAGGAACATATTCAGGAAGTGGAGCTGGCGGACAACGTTTCAACGTTCCAATGAGCCCACTTAGCATTTCATTGAGAGTACGAAATGTTGAAGTCGGTGTCGATAATCGTCGGGTTGTGCCCTATTACCCCATGCTTCCTAAGACCTACAAGGCCCATATCAACGTTGAATATTGCAATTCAGTCAAGTCAATCTAGTACATTTGTAAATACATCACCAAGGGAAACGATATGGCAGTTTTCGGAGTTCGAAATGCTTCCGAACCGATAGATGAGATAGAGCGATACCAATCGGGCCGGTACATTAGTAGCAATGAGGCTGTTTGGCGAATTCTTTCATTCCCCATCCATGAACGCCATCCGGCAGTTGTTCATTTAACAGTTCATCTCGAGAACGGTCAGCGCGTATATTTCACAGCAGCGAATATGCTTTCAAAAGCATCGACACCGCCGCAAACTTTGACTGCATTCTTTTCACTCTGTGTGAATGATTCGTTCGCGAGAACTTTATTGTACCCTGAAGTACCAAAATACTACACCTGGAATGCGTCGTTGAAAAAATTTCAACGTCGGAAGAGATGCCAACCCGTCGAGAACGAAACGGATCTATACTCATCTCATACATTGGGTCGAATATACACAATTCACCCGAATAATCAGGAATGTTTATTCTTGCGATTGTTGTTAATTAATGTGCGCGGACCGAGATCATTCGCGGAATTAAGAACGGTATACGGTGTTGTTCACTCGACTTTCCGTGAAGCATGTCAAGCATTGAATCTCATCGAGAACGATTCCCATTGGGAAACGACATTGGAAGAAGTTTCATGTACAGCCCACCCAAGTCAAATTCGAACACTCTTCGCGATGATCCTGACGATGTGCTCACCGTCTAATCCGCGCGATCTCTGGGAGAAGTATAAGGACTATATGAGCGAAGACATTCTCCGTCAAAGTCAGAGCGGGAATCAGAATGGTGAACTCGAATTTACTTCTCGAATCCACAATGATGCGTTAATTCTGATAGAAAATATAATATGTATGACGATCGCAAATGGGCAGGGAAACGAACACTGTCAAGTACTTCAAATACAACAACGGTTGCTGTAGACAAGGAACATGACAAGTATCGGGATCAATTACTAGAGTGGTGGTCGATAGGTAGGGCTGAACAGACATTCAACCATTTAGAGTTGGCTACTGAGTCGTCATCACCAAAATAATTTAAATTGAATATCATTCCATGTCATATCCCTGAATTCTAACATAAGAGAGAAGCCTGTTTTTTCTTATGCGTGTTGTATGCTATCATCACTTTCCCCGCGGCGAAGCGTGGCTGGGCACGCTAGTGGAGAATAAATTCGCACCGCAGAGAGGGTTGTGCGGAACAGAGTTTAGGAGAGAAGGAAAGAAAGATAACAACATTGCAAGTTGCAACTCGGTCCGGTCGTTCCCGACGACCGGAAAACTCGAAAAGGGATTTTGTTCATCCTAACCCTCCGTGTCACACCCTCTCCGAAGCGCATCTGTGAACCGAACTTCAGTGTCTTCATTCAGAGTAGTTTCGAGGGGTCGATCCGTGACAACGGCCAAGAGGACAAGGATCTCCTAGACAGCAGAACGCAAACTGGAAGTCGTACGCCATGATTAACAGTTTGGAATGACAGAACGCTCCTTGAATTCAATATATCGAGGACTATGCTATATCGCCGGAGGGCAGAGGAGGAGAAGCTCTCCACGACCGACAGAAGAGACAGAGCTTTCAGGAGAGACAAAGCTGAGCTCCTGGCTCTAGAACCTGAGATAAAATAGTGGGTCCTCGAGCGCAGATCACTAAACAGAGCGGTTCAGGTGCGCGATATTCAGAGAAAAGCCTTGGAGGCAGCGAAGAACACCGGCATAGAAAATTTCAAAGCCTCGAACGAACGGGTCCACAAAGTGCAGAGGAACAATTTAAGCGTCCGGAGACCAATCGGCGCGGGTCAACCACTCCCTAATGGTGCCGTCCAGAAGATCGCAGCATTCCGCGAATTTGTCATGCCTGCCATGTCAGAAATCCCGACCTCAAGTGTGGGTAATATGGACGAAGTTCCAGCGCCCTTCGACATCACCGACGGTCGGACATTGAGCCTGGAGGGGAGCGAAAATGTAAGAATCGACACCACCGGTCATGAGAAGAGCGGTGGTGCTCTGCGTCACTGCTGTAGGAGAGAAGCTCAAACCGGTGCTGATATTAAAAAAGAATCTAATGCCCAAAGAGGATTCCCCTCCCGATGTCGTGGTGAAGGTGGATGAAAACGGGTGGATGAACGACACCCTCATCGTTGAATGGTTAAGTGAGGTGTCAAAGGAACACATTTTTTACGAGAGCGATCCGAAGAAGTCGATGCTAATAATGGATTCGGCTCGCTGCCATCTTACGGATCGAGTTCAGAATGAGCTGCGGAATCATTCCAAGTTCGGGATAATACCACGAAATATTGCCAGCCGCTCGATTTGAGCGTAAAAAAAGTCTTTAAAGACAACTTCGGGAGACTTCGGGAGGACTGGATGTCAAACGAGGAGAACGCCTCCTACACCAAGAGTGATCGTCGGGAACGCTTGAGCTATGCTGAGATCGCTACCCTTGTCAGGGACGCTTTCGAAGCCGGTTCGATCGAGAGTATCGTCAGCGGTTTTGACAAGGCCTTCAGTCTCGAAGTAGTGGACTTATTCAATTCCGATTCGGGCGATGAGATCGATGCGGAGAGTTTCGATGAGAGCGATACTTTGGAGGACTGAGTTCTGCCCCCTCCGACTATTATCTGTATATAAACTTCCTGTCGCTCAGAGATCGCGAGAATCGATCTCCGATCGCGTTTCCACAACTATTCCAAGGAGCTCAGTTACCTCAGATTTCTGGAGTTCCGCGGACATTTATCATGCGATTCATATCTTACCTGTTTCACATTTTGCCCAAGCGGGTAGTATCTCCCTATTGTTCAAGGCGATATTCTCCGGAGCTCGAATTTGTATGTTTGTGTACGATAAGTAGGCCTAAAATCCATGGTGGAATAAATTATTTTTCATATCTCCGCGATCCGAGTCTCGTCCAGCAACTCGAGTAATCTTCCGGGGAGTTCTCCAAGGCAACAAATCAATTTCGTCGCTAACCTCCTCAGTCATCTCAGTTTCCCGATCCAAACGATTCCACGTTCTACGGAAAACGAACAGAGCTGGACTCCTTCGAACGATGGATCCATACCCCCATAGAGCTCTCTCGATGATTGGGGCGGGCGTATAGTTATCATCATATGAATGCACGTTCGCATTCGTTCCCAGTCACATGTTCGGATCTCCACGATATTCACGTGAGCAGTCAACCTTCTTCATGGAGAAGTTTTCGCGACAGTATCTTATCTCTCACGCGGAGAGTCCCCCACGAGAGGAGTCCTCACGCGGGGAGTCCCTTGTAAAAAACGTTCGTTATACGGAAAGTACCTTATAGGCGAGATTCCTTATACGAAAATTTCCTTAAACGCGGGGCTCCCTATAAGAAGCAGTATTTTCGGAAATGAAAGTCGCTTATACACGGGGCTTTAGGGGGGGACTTTGGGGTAGTCCTCCAATCCAGGAATAAAGCCTCTCATCCGTTACACCCATTTTTTTTTAATGCTTCACTTCTTTATTTAGCAAAAATTGGGCTCGACATTATTACACATTGGCCGGACGCCAAGGTGGCGTGTGTCGCAATCATGTGGGAGATGAGAAGTGGGTTGGTCTGGGGGGAGGAGGTGGATTTTGAGCCGAATCCAAAGGTATGTGAGAAATCATTCGTAAAATTGAACGATCGGTTCACCCCGCGTATAGTATGCTCACGGCGACTTTGCCGTTTTACGGCCTGGCAGCGCACAACGGGCATTCCGAGGTTCAGTGGTCACCGAGCCATACGACTTCAAACGCGGAGAAGATTCCGATTTGGAAGAAAAAGTATAATACATCGAACTATGTATTCAGCAAGGCCTGGGTGAGCTCAAAATGAGAAAACACTTTGACGTGAAAACGTCTTCAAAATGTCTCTAGTAGCCGGTCATAGAAACTTGGTCCTCCATGCGGCGAAATCTACCCCGCTTTCGCGGAGCTGAATCTCCGGCATCGGATCATCACGAGGATTGGGTCGAAAGATTGCAAAACGGGACCTTGTCCCGATGAATTTACGTCCGGAACTCAACTGAGAAGGAGGTTCCATTGTACGGTTTCTCAAGACCCTCGACAACCTCTGTTAAGCCGTATGAATAATTGTTTTCTAGAATAGGGGGAGAAAGGTCGGCTTGAGCAATTGAAAGGATGTAAGATTCTGATGCATATCGGTGAGTACATGGACTGTAAGTGTCTCAAGACTGTTTGTCCGGGGAGTAATTTAGTTTGTAGGGGTACCCATCCCTTGCTCTGGCGGAGAAAACCGCTGCAGCTATGCAGGTTTTCTTTATCTACTTCCAGACCGCGTATCAAATAAGTTTCCTGCTCTTAGGATCCTGATCGGAGGAGGATCTTGAACCGAATAGGGTTCTGAGTTGAGCCTAATTCGTCCTTCCGGAATCGTAAATGGAGGTTTCGCCGAGATTCGATGGACTATAAGAAAGTGTGCAGCTGAGGCTCCGAAGAGGACTTAATTCCTTGGTGTTAGCCATGAGTCCGTAAACAAGAACCATCATGCGGTGAAAGCGGAAAACAAGGGTAGCTGAAGATAAAGGGCGGTCAGAAGCAGCTGTGAAACTGCCAAAAACATCAACGGGAAGAGCACGAGAACCTCATGCTCGTCGTCGTGCAATGGCCCGGTCACCAGAGGCCAACACTGAAGATCTTGGTGCGCTGAGTTTGATCCCTGAAGATGGCAATGTGAGACGGCAAGAACCGGTACATTTCCTGCGTCAAGACAGCGATGGTTGAAACGAGCTGAGTGTCCTCAGAAATAATGCTGCGGATTTCGATGGAGGTACCGAATGTATGAGGGATGCGGCTCACGGATATAAGTGAAGGAGGGCGACACAGCGATTCAAAAATATATTCCTTGACAACAAGTTCGGGCATAAACGCGACGTCTGTGATCGCCTCTGGTTTTTCCGCGATCTTAAAACAGTGAATCCTAGTATGGCGATTTTTCTGCGGGACCATTTCGATGACGATGATACTCGGGTTTTCAAGCTGTGCGGTATTTGTTTCAGAGTGTGGAAACATTGAATACTCCGCCGATATGCATGATCCGTAATTTTTCCGCTCATTAGTCTAATCATCCTCATGATCTATGAACACAGAAAGTTAGATCACCTACCGCCAGCTTCAAGCTATACACAAGAGACGTTTTCAGGCGAACATGCGGTAATAGCTCGCTACTACCTTTCCGTTTTTTCTTGAGTTTTTTGTTTCGTCGATTGAACGCAGACAATCGCTGTGAATCATCACTATTCATTCTACAAAGTACGCTTCAGAGAGCCACGAGCCATGCTCTCAGAGTTGATATAATAATACTGACAGAGACATGAAATAGAACGACGGCGCCGGCGGAAAAATGTACCTATGAAAGATCCCTCCATGCAGGACCGAGCCATCTGTGAAGGATGATAAGGTGGATTCCCGATCTTTAGCGCGCCCAACACCGACGTGATAGCGTCACCGGAATCGGATCGTCACCGTACGACGATTCCAACAAGGATAAGAACTGTCAGAGCTGACATCACAAGATTCGCGGTGAGTCACCGAGGGTATCCTTATAGCGATTGATGTGCATCAGGGTGCAGAGCTGAAGAACTTGGAAAAATACATTACGCCAACCCTGAGGGATTACAACGCGTATGGAATTATTGATATACCCGACATTGATTATTATGATGGGCGGGCTCCGCCTGACGAACGAATACAGGGTACGGAGGCTCTTATGAGAGCTCTTGTGCCCCTTACTTGAGTGCATTCCCACAGATTAGAGAGATAATCACAGCTGAATGCCATTATTCGTATCTTCTATTTGTATTATCAGTCGTCTGCTCTCTGTTGTGGGAAACACGTGCGTCTTCGCTCCGTGGTCTTTTTCCTAGATTTTCCGCGTTTATCGTGCCCCTCGTTTGGAAATCCCGTGTTGTGGTTTCTCTCGGCGATCGCGGCTCCCTGGCCCAGTGTCGTTCTCTCCGCGAGGACAGCCCTGTTCATCGGAACCCTTCCTCCGAGCACTGTCAGGCCTAACAACGGCTCCTTCGCTGTTCGTTGCTGTTTCGTCGTGAGTCACGGTATACCACTCTGTGCCTGTCCGGTGCTTCCCGGCACTCCTCACCCATTAATCTCATCTCCAGCGGCTTCGGAACTCCGGATCGGCTGCTCCTCCTGACTTCCCAATCGGTTTCACTCTCGATCAGCTCTTCCAGGATGGCCGACCCTTGCTCCATGTGCAATAGCTTTACGGCTGAACCGATCTTCTGCTGCACTTTCGGCTGCGGCCGTGTCTTCGATGGGACCTGTCTTCCGCCAACCCATGTCGAAAATTGTGTTTTGGCATGCATTCAGTGCCGCGTTAAGCCGCCGGAAAAATCTTCTAACCTTGCCGTCATGAAGCAGCTGGCATTTCTTCCAAAACATGTTTGTCCAGGATAACACCCGACTGCGCACTGAGGTCGAGGCGGAGATCTCTTTCTCGAATATGTATCAGGTATTCAGGCTTGATCGCCCTCCCCACGGTGGTGGAGTCTGTATGCTTGTTAGGCGAGATTTTCCGGCCGTGGCGGTTGACTTGGGTTTCTGTGGCGAATGTTGCGCAATCGAGATCGGGTTTTCTGACGAGCTCATCAGATTCATGTGTTGTTACGTGCCTCCCTCCGGAGACATTACCTTACGTAGATCGCGCGTCGCCATGGTTTGCTCTGCCATGAGCCTCCTATCAACTACCGATGTTCCGGTCATAATACTGGGCGATTTCAATCTCCCCTATATCATCTGGTCTGCGCTGCCTCCGATTTCTTCGGACTCGCCCGAGAGCATCTTCTCCGCTTGTTGTCTCAACAATAATCTTCAACAGCTTATCACACACCCTACCCATAGAGATGGAGGTATACTCGACCTGCTTCTGACTACTGCTCCTGACGTAATCGATGGTATCTCGCTAACCTCCCCACCGATTCCCTCCGACCATCTCGCCATCCAGTTTGATTTCCTGGATCTTTCCCCATCTCCCCCTCCAATATCTACGCGGCTGGATTTCCGACGCATGGATACGATGTCGATCGCCGAGCATTAGGATGTCATAGATTGGCGCAGGGTCTTCGGAGAATGTACTTCCGTCAGTCAGATGTACGATGAATTCATCGGGCTATGCTCATCGCTAATAGCCGAATTCGTTCCTCCCTCTGCAATCTCATCAAATGTTGCTCCAGTCCACGCCTACATCTCCCGTCTTCTGGCTCGTCTTGGGCCTCATGATGCTTCTTTCAGCAAAAGCTTTCTCAAGGCCTCTAGACTCTAGAAGACTCCGCATCCTCACCGAGGCAAAACTCGACTTCAAAAGCGCTCGTTCCTTCTATCAGTATATCAACGATCGTCTTCATCCCCGCTGTAACATACCTACACTCAAGTCCGCTTCCGTCGCCGTGACCGATCCAGCTGATAGATCACGCCTTCTCGGGGAACACTTCGCGTCCGTTTTCAACAAAGTGAATCTCTCCTATCCTGCTCGTCGTCCGATGGCCCGGAGAATCTCGTTCTCTGATTCTCGCCTTGTCTTCGACGAATCTCACGTTTATACCCTTCTCTCTGTTCTG